ATACTGGTCAGTTGTTCCTGAATTCCAAAGGGAGGAGGGTATAATGAGGCGTGTCTGACCCCCTCACCTTTCTCATCATGGCCTGAACTAGTTTTTCAGGCCCCTTTTCTTGGCCAAGAGAGGGGTCCATCAGTCAGTTGGGGAGCTTAGAATTTTATTTTTGGTTTATAACACTTTATAAAGGTCCAAACTAAACAAGGTACAGTCTTTCCTAGATTGACAATTACCTAGATTGACACAGTAGTTGCATTCCTGAAAAGTTCAGTATATATTAAAACAGTGCAAAAACTATTTTTTTAGCATATAACACAAAGTTAGGTTCTGAGGTAATTTTGAGCAAGCTTTTGACCCTTAGGGACTTTGCGCAGGACATCCTACAGCTGTGTGGATGCTGGCCGATTCTGCATGGTACAGGACTGTCATGCAGATGTAAACCAAAAATTAAATTCAAAGGCCCCACAACCATCTGAATGGACTTTCTTTTTTCTTTCTTTCTTTCTTTTTTTTTTTTTTTTTTTTTTGAGATGGAGTCTCTCTGTGTCACCCAGGCTGGAGTGCAATGGCACAAGCTTAGCTCACTGCAACCTCTGCCTCCTGGTCTCAAACCCCTGACTTCAGGTGATCCGCCTGCCTCAGCCTCCCAAAGTGCTGGGATTACAGGAGAGAGCCACTGTGCCCGGCCCATCTGAATGGACTTCCTTCTAGGTCAGAGCACTCAAAAATTTAACCTAAAAGTCTGGTTTAGGCCATGATGGAAGTGGGGGCTGAAAATGCCTCATTATACCCGCCAACATTAACATCAACACAGACCTTAGGTCTGATGAGAGGCATTTACATTCTGTTCTCTGTAGCTGGCTACCTGGAGGCTTCATCTGCATGATCAAACTTTGGACTCCACAACCTCTTATCCCAACCCAGACATTCTTTCCTTTTGAGAACTTTTTTTTTTTTTTTTTTGAGATGGAGTCTTACTGTGTCACCCAGGCTGGAGTGCAATGGCACAAGCTTAGCTCACTGCAACCTCTGCCTCCTGGGTTCAAGCAACTCTCCTGCCTCAGCCTCCTGAGTAGCTAGGATTTCAGGCACACACCACCATGCCTGGCTAATTTTTGTATTTTTAGTAGAGATGGGGTTTCACCATGTTGGCCAGGCTGGTCTCCAACCCTGACCTCAAGCGATCTGCCTGCCTCAGCCTCCCAAAGTGCTGGGATTACAGGCGTGAGCCACCACACCTGGCCTCTATTGATAACTCTTTCAACCAATTGCCAATTAGAAAAATTTTAAATCTACCTATAAATTGGAAGCTGCCCCCCGCCCCTCAAGTTGTCTCATGCTTCTGGACCAGACCAATGTGTATCTTAAATGTATTTGACTGATGTCTCATGTCTCCCAAAAATATATAAAACCAAGCTGCATCCTGACCACCTTGGACACACATTCTCAGGGTCTCCTGAAGGCTGTGTCATGGGCCATGGCCCTCGTATTTGACTCAGAATAAATTTCTTCAAATGTTTTACAGTTTGGCTCTTTTCATTGACATACATTATTATGCCATTCTGATTATAGGGGGTATACCCACTCCTGTCACTGCGACAACCAAAAAGCAAGCCTGCAAATTTACAGCTTCCTAGAAGGCAGCTGTCCCCATCAAGAGCCACTGCTTTTAGAGAGTATTACAGATAAAATGCACTGAGGCAAAGGTCCTTGAACAGATCCAATCCCTTTATCTTTCTGTTGATGGCAGTGTTGTTCATTCAACATATTCAACATACTCTTTCCTTTTTTTGTGTGAGCACCATGCTTCTTTCTACCTGTTTGCTGTGTGGAGAATATAGTCTACCAGGGGACAGAGATGTTAAGTATAATAAATAAGCAACCAAATAGACAAGACAATTAAGGGCTGTGATCATTGCTTTGATGGAAATAAGATGGTTTTTGAAAGATTAACAGGGCGGGGGAGTTATTTCAAATAGTGTGTGCAGGAGAAGGCTCTGAGGAAACACTGGTGTGAGATCCAGTCGCAGTAAGAGCAGAGAGAAGAGGGTTCACGTGGAGGAGGCAGCACGTACCAAGATCCCGAGACTGGAAAGAGTTTGGAATGACGGACCATGTGTGTATTCCAGGATGGCTGGAGCTTCCACCTTAGGACCTTGGTGCTGGCCACTCCTCTCCCTCAAACACTGGGCCTCTCCACATTTTTCCTTACTTCCTTCAGACCCCTGCCCTAATCTCATTACATCAGAGACACCTTTCCTGTCTCCTCTCTATAAACAGCAGCCACCACCCCAGCCCTGGCACCCCCATCTCCTTTTTCCCACTTTACTTTCCTCCATTGCATTTACCTCCACCTGTCAGTACCTATTTCCTCTTCCTTTTGTTGTCTATCACCTCTTCCATCCACCAGAATGTAAGCTCCATGAGGGCAGGCTTGGTCCATTTTGTTCACAGCTGTATCTCCAGCTCCTAAAACAATGCCTGAGGCTTGGTGTGCTGGCTCATGCCTGTAATCCCAGCACTTTGGGAGGCTGAGGCTGGCGGATCACTTGAGGTCAGGAGTTGAAGAACAGCCTGGCCAACATGCTGAAACCCCATCTCTACTGAAAATACAAAAATTAGCTGGGCATGGTGGCACACACTTCTAATCCAAGCTACTCAGGAGGCTGAGGTGGGAGGATCACTTGAACCCGGGAGGCAGAGGTTGCAGTGAGCTGAGATAGCACCACTGCACTCCAGCCTGGGTGACAGAGTGAGACCCTGTCTCAAATAAATAAATGATAAATAAAACAGTGCCTGACACATAATAGGTACTCAGCAAATTTTTTTTAGTGAGTTATTGAGGAGAAAAACTATTCAAGATAGTGTTGACAAGACAGTCAAGAGCTGAATCATGTAAATCCTCGTAGGATTTTATTCCAAGTACAGCGGGAGGGAAGGGAAGGGCCCTGTACAAAGAGGAATGATATCAACTAGATTACGGTTTTAAAAGATCATGCTGGCTGCTGGCTGGAAAATGAAAGCAAGACCAGAAATAAGAGAGCCAGTGAGGAGTCTCCAGTCTGGCCCACACAAAGAGATGGTGGTGGCTTACAGTAGGGCAGTGGATAGGCTTGGGAGGTGGCACCAACAGGACTTGCCGATGGATTAGATATGGGGGTGATGTTTAAAAGAATGAGGGTGACTCTGCTATGTTGTCACCCTGAGTCTCTGGATGGATATGGTGAAGCCATTTACTAAGATGAGGGAGAAATTCAGAGTGGTGATAAACATTCTCACCAAGTTTTTCCTAACAATTATCAGATGCCTGAGTTTGATACTTTGAGTCAACCCAGGCATCGATGCCTACTTCTGATTTGCTGTAGCTTGTGTGCCACGGCCTCACAGTTTCTGTGGAAACCCCACCATACATCAGCCCTAACACAAAGCACAGCCTCGTTAGAGATAGCCTACCTCCAGCACCGTGACTGCTCCAGGCTTAATCTCTCCTGGTGTTGACACCTTTGCCAGTGATGTTGTCTCATGGGATCATGGGATTCATGCTCTTTATAAACCATTGCCTTCTTCCTGTTTCTTTCATTTATTTTTCCTCTCATTCACCTGCCCTCTGAGCTATGTAACTTTTCCTTTACCTTCCAACAGAGGCCTTTCGTTACATTTAGAGCAAATGGAATGCATAGCAGGCACCAAAGATGGAGGTGCTATGCAAATAACAGACACCAAGCTCTCTGTGGGTGGGGTTCTTGTGTGTTTTCTCTTCACAGCACCCAGCACAATACTTGGAACATAAGCCAGACACATTTATTGAGCACCATTTCTGCTGCACCCGTGAAGAAAACACTCAACCCACCCAGACAGACAGTCAGCTCCCCCACAGGACTTAAGCAAGTGGGCCGGTCTCTGTTTATTGTTGTACACTCACACACTCACACAGCTGTCAGGCGAGCACTAGGCACTTATCACATTTTTATTAAGCCCATCACATCTGACTCTTTGTAGGGATGCCAGAAAGTGCCCGATTTCTGCATGATGGGATGGACTGTGGGTGGAGTAAGGTCAGACAAACGGAGATGGGCCAGTAGCCTAGACAAGTTAAGGGAGAAAAACAATGAATTTATTTTCCACTCATCAGCCGAGCTTTCTGTGGGCTAGGAACGGGGTGCCTGGCTAAAATGAAGCAACACTGTGTCTCTTCCTGCTGTTTTCTCCAACTCCCCTCAGCAAATCATGAATGAAAAAAACGAACGAATGAACAAACGTAGAATTATTATAAGGATTAAGTGCAGGCAGGGTGCAGTGGCTCATGCCTGTAATCGCAGCACGTTGGGAGGCCGAGGTGGGAGGATCACTTCAGCTCAGGAGTTCAAGACCAGCCTGGGCAACAAAGCGATACCCCCATCTCAATTTTTAAATTTTGATTTAGAATAATAAATAAATTTTTTTTAAAAGATTAAGTGAAATGTTTTTTAAGTACCTAGAGTAGTGCCTAGTATATAGAGAATTCAACATAAGTGTTTGATAGAAAGAGAGCAAAAATAGGCCAGGTGTGGTGACTCATACCTGTAATCCCAGCACTTCAGGAGGTTGAGGCGGGCAGGTCACTTGAGCCCACAAGTTGGAGATCAGCCTGGGCAATGTGGTGAAACCCCATTTCTACTAAAATACAAAAATTAGCCAGGTACAGTGGCACATGCCTGTAGTTCCAGCTAATCAGGTGGCTGAGATGGGAGGATAGTTTAAACCCGGGAGGCGGAGGTGGCAGTGAGCTGTGATGGTGCCACTGCCCTCCAGCCTGGGCGACAGAGCAAGACCCTGTCTCAAAAAAACAGAAAGAGAGTAAGAATAGCTTTGTCTGTATCTGCCAGCAGCCATGTTTGTGGAGTCAGAGGAATGAAGGCGTCAAAGGGAACAGGAACATCATAGAGAATACCCCCAGGATCTGAAGACCCCAGTGCAATACCTCGAGCTTAAATGCCTGTGTTTTCATTCTCCCTTCTTCTCCGTAGGATCATGGGAGACCACCTGGACCTTCTCCTAGGAGTGGTGCTTGTGGCCAGTCCTGTGTTTGGATTTCCTTCCTGCTCCTTTGATGGCCGAATAGCCTTTTATCGTTTCTGCAACCTCACCCAGGTCCCCCAGGTCCTCAACACCACTGAGAGGCTCCTGCTGAGCTTCAACTATATCCGGACAGTCACTGTTTCATCCTTCCCCTTTCTGGAACAGCTGCAGCTGCTGGAGCTCGGGAACCAGTATACCCCCTTGACTATTGACAAGGAGGCCTTCAGAAACCTGCCCAACCTTAGAATCTTGGACCTGGGAAGTAGTCAGATATACTTCCTGCATCCAGATGCTTTTCAGGGACTGTTCCATCTGTTTGAACTTAGACTGTATTTCTGTGGTCTCTCCGATGCTGTATTGAAAGATGGTTATTTCAGAAATTTAAAGTCTTTAACTCGCTTGGATCTATCCAAAAATCAGATTCGTAGCCTTTACCTTCCTCCTTCATTTGGGAAGCTGAATTCCTTGAAGTCCATAGATTTTTCCTCCAACCAAATATTTCTTGTATGTGAACATGAGCTCGAGCCCCTCCAAGGGAAAATGCTCTCCTTTTTCAGCCTCGCAGCTAATAACTTGTATAGCAGAGTCTCAGTGGACTGGGGAAAATGTATGAACCCGTTCAGAAACATGGTGCTGGAGACACTAGATGTTTCTGGAAATGGCTGGACAGTGGATATCACAGGAAACTTTAGCAATGCCATCAGCAAAAGCCAGGCCTTCTCTTTGATTCTTGCCCACCACATCATGGGTGCCGGGTTTGGCTTCCATAACATCAAAGATCCTGACCAGAACACATTTGCTGGCCTGGCCAGAAGTTCAGTGAGACACCTGGACCTTTCACATGGGTTTATCTTCTCCCTGAACTCCCGAGTCTTTGAGACACTCCAGGATTTGCAGGTTCTGAACCTTGCCTACAACAAGATAAATAAGATTGCAGTTGAAGCATTTTACGGACTTCACAACCTCCAAGTTCTCAATTTGTCGTATAACCTTCTGGGGGAACTTTACAGTTCGAATTTCTATGGACTACCTAAGGTAGCCTACATTGATTTGCAAAAAAATCACATTGGAATAATTCAAGACCAAACATTCAAATTCCTGGAAAACTTACAGACCTTGGATCTCCGAGACAATGCTCTTACAACCATTCATTTTATTCCAAGCATACCTGATATCTTCTTAAGTGGCAATAAACTAGTGACTTTGTCAGAGATCAACCTTACAGCCAACTTCATCCACTTATCAGAAAACAGGCTAGAAAATCTAGATATTCTCTACTTTCTCCTACGGGTACCTCATCTCCAGATTCTCATTTTAAATCAAAATCGCTTATCCTCTTGTAGTGGAGATCAAACCCCTTCAGAGAATCCCACCTTAGAACAGCTTTTCCTTGGAGAAAATATGTTGCAACTTGCCTGGGAAACTCAGCTCTGTTGGAATGTTTTTGAGGGACTTTCTAATCTTCAAGTTCTGTATTTGAATAATAACTATCTTAATTCCCTTCCACCAGGAGTATTTAGCCATCTGACTGCATTAAAGGGACTAAGCCTCAACTCCAACAGGCTGACAGTTCTTTCTCACAATGATTTACCTGCTAATTTAGAGATCCTTGACATATCTGGGAATCAGCTCCTAGCTCCCGATCCTGATTTATTTGTATCACTTAGTGTCTTGGATATAACTCATAACAAGTTCATTTGTGAATGTGCACTTAGCACTTTTATCCATTGGCTTAATCACACCAATGTCACTATAGCTGGGCCTCCTGCAGACATACATTGCGTGTACCCTGACTCGCTCTCTGGGGTTTCCCTCTTTTCTCTTTCCACGGAAGCTTGTGATGAAGAGGAAGTCTTAAAGTCCCTAAAGTTCTCCCTTTTCATTGTATGCACTGTCACTCTGACTCTGTTCCTCATGACCATCCTCATAGTCACGAAGTTCCGGGGCTTCTGTTTTATCTGTTATAAGACAGCCCAGAGACTGGTGTTCAAGTACCATCCCCAGAGCACAGAACCTGATACGTACAAATATGATGCCTATTTGTGCTTCAGCAGCAAAGACTTCGCATGGGTGCAGAATGCTTTGCTCAAACACCTGGACACTCAATACAGGGACCAAAACAGATTTAACCTGTGCTTTGAAGAAAGAGACTTTGTCCCGGGAGAAAACCACATTGCCAATATCCAGGACGCCATCTGGAACAGTAGAAAGATTGTTTGTCTTGTGAGCAGACACTTCCTTAGAGATGGTTGGTGCCTTGAAGCCTTCAGTTATGCCCAGGGCAGGTGCTTATCTGACCTTAACAGTGCTCTCATCATGGTGGTGGTTGGGTCCTTGTCCCAGTACCAGTTGATGAAACATCAATCCATTAGAGGCTTTGTACAGAAACAGCAGTACTTGAGGTGGCCTGAGGATCTCCAGGATGTTGGCTGGTTTCTTCATAAACTCTCTCAACAGATACTAAAGAAAGAAAAAGAAAAGAAGAAAGACAGTAACATTCCGTTGCGAACTGTAGCAACCATCTCCTAATCAAAGGAGCAATTTCCAACCTATCTCAAGCCACAAATAACTATTCACTTTGTATTTGCACCAAGTTACCATTTTGGGGTCCTCTCCGGAGATTTTTTTTTCTTTTTGCTACTATGAAAACAACATAAATCTCTCGATTTTCATATCAACACCATGTTCTGTCTCACTAACCTCTAAATAGAAAATAATAGATCTAGAAAATGGCAGCTGCCCTTAGAGATTCCCAGTCTCCATTGGTTTTCTTTCAGATCCAATAATACTGTTCTGTCCCGCTGTGTTGATTATGGAATGTATCCCTAATCATGGGAAGGACACCTTGGGAGAAGCTGCAGATGGCTGACGTGCTTTCTCTAGCATTCAGTCAAAAATGAGATGGTCCATGATTCTGGGTTCTCTGTGTTCTGCAAAACAACATTAAGTGGAAAACAAACAGAAGCAGAGGCACATTTCCTTCTTTTGCCACAGAAACAATGCCACTGTTGAGTGCAAGTCACACTTTGTCTTGTAGATAAGAGGTGGCCCCAAAGAAGCTGGGATGAATGAGAGTCACTCCCTCTCTTGTGGCTGTACCGCACTTCATGTTCTTACCTTCAGCTTCTCCAGGTCTTGCCCAGTGAGCCAAGAACTTTCTTTCACATGCTGCCTTTATTTCAGCCTGGCCTTCAAGACCTTCCGTGATTTATCACCAACCTACCTTTTCAGCTTTATTTCCTAGCACACCTCATTGATCAGCCGCTCAGGCTGTTGCATGAAAAACACGGACTTTGCACACAGATCCTGGGTTGAGTTCTGAGTCAGCTGTGTATTAGCTGTGTAACCTTGGCCATGGTATGCCCTTGCTGGGCCTACATTTTCTCACATAACAGCATCTATGTCATAGAATTCCTGTGAAAATTAAATTGGCCAAGGATGTCAGGGCCTCTCAGATCTTTTCCTTTGTTGCCCTAATGACCACAAGAGCACACACACACTGAAGGCCTTCTGGGGGCAGTCGCAATTTCAGTGAAGTTGTACTTTTTTATCTTAAATGAAATCTATGTGTATTTTCCATTCTGTTCCTTTTTTCATGTTTATTAATATAGAAATGTGTTTTTGCAAAAGGATTAAGAACACTTAAAGCAAGGAAACTGTGCCAAAATTACCCCATAGCTTCACACACTGCCTCCTCCAAGTCCAGCATAACTCCAGGTCACCTCCTCAGCTCTCCAGACTGTCACCTTCTTCCCCTCACTGGGCCCCTCAATCCTGACTCCTGCAATACACACACACACACACACACACACACACACACATATTCTCATCCCAACTTCTTTCGGCCACTTATAATCAATGAGACCGAGCTTGCCCTGCATCCAGTGATGGCATTATTTTCATGCACATCATGCAGGCCCCACTCTCCCTCTTTCCTCTGAATTCTTCTCCCATCTCTGCACATCCATCCTACATGCTCAAAATCCAGCCCATGAAGCTCCCTGGGATCCCTCCAACCCAAAGTCTTGTCTCCCTTTTGTGAAAACTCTTGACACTTTATCTGGTCTTTTAAAAGTAGCTCTTACTATCACTTCCTGTCTGCTTTGTTCTGAGCCTGCCTGGCCGCCCGCCCCTCTAGAGGATAAGTTCCCTGAGGACAGACCTTGTCTTCTGTGTCCTGCCCTCACTGACTATAGCAGATCACTTATGGTTTTGGGACCATTCACGGGTTTCCCACCTACACATCTGCCCATGCTTCTTCCTCCCCGTGGAATTTCTTCTTCCCATCCTACCACTTGTCTGCCTGGTGAATTTCCTTGATTAGCACGACTGCCCATCCCTCATGACCCCAGTGACAGATTTTCTGTCACAGATACATGACATTGTGTTGCGCCAGTGTGTTTGTGTATGTGTGTGAATGGCTTAAGTTTGTGAGACACTGCAGTCAGGAGCTCGTCTTGTTCATCTGTGTACACAGGCCCATTATGGTGCCTGGCCCACAGTATGTGCTTAATAAATGTCTTGTGGATGAATGAAGTATATTGGGAAGCCCAGCCTTCCTCATGTCAACACCTGCTGTTATTAGACTTTCCACAGGAGGCACAGGGAGGATGAGGGCCTGAAAGAGCAAGATATCCATGGAGGTGCTGAGTGGTGAGCTGAAGAGGGCAGGAGACCACAGGCTGTCAGACACCCCTGAACACCATTTCAAATGGCCAGGTGTGGCACAGGGCTCCTGGGTAGTGGGATAGTGGCAGCCTGGATAAGCAGCTGTGAGTGGGGCTAGAATGGAGAGCTGAAGGGGTGGGGAGGAAAACAGAACCCACATGAATTTGCAGTGAATAGGGTCTCCTGGAACCTTGTGCTAAGAAATACAGTAAAACAGGGCCACGCACTGGTGGCTCATGCCTGTAATCCCAGCACTTTGGGAGGCCAAGGTGGGCCAATCACTTGAGGTCAGGAGTTTGAGACCAGCCTGCCCAACATGGTGAAAACCCATCTCTAGTAAAAATACAAAAATTAGCTGAGCGTGGTGGTGCATGCCTGTAATCCCAGCTACTCGGGAGGCTGAGGTAGGAGAATTCCTCGAACCCAAGAGGTGGAGATTGCAGTGAGCCAAGATGGCACTATTGCACTCCTGGGTGACAGAGTGATCCTAACTCAAAAAAAAAAAAAAAAAAAAAAAAGGAAAAGAAAAAGAAAGAAAGAAATACAGTAAAACCAAACAAAAGTATACTGTGCCAGTAACAGGTATAACTGCAAATCAGGAAGACTGGAAAGACCACTCTGCCTCGGTTTATGCTCTCCTGTCCCACCTGCTGCTCAGCCATGGTTTTCCCCCAGCTCTAGGGCGTGCGAAAGGGGCACCCAGGACACTGAAGAAATCTCCTGGTCAGAACACCTTGTAAGAAACTCCTAGGGAAAGGGGTTTCCCAGTCTGGCTAGGGGTTGGAGGTAGTGCTACAATAGGGACCTCCCTTGGTTTGGGTGACCATCGCTATGACTCTATTTTCCAAACCAAACCTGGGACATGTAAAATGACAAGTGCAGGTGTATTTACAGGAAGAACAAGCTGAAACACAGATAACTCTCAACATAGGAAAGAAGTCTATCCCACAGCCTTTTCTAACCTTCTTATTTAAAAACATAAATTACAGGTAATTTTCCTAATGAAACACATTTAAAAGGCATCTTTTGTGGTCTGTATAGAGTGTATGGGGGACCTGTTCACTTCTACATCCAAGCCACTGTTGGATTCAACATACCACTCTATTTCAAAACTTCCCTTTTCTGGCAAAGATCCAAAACTTACTAAAATTATTTTAATTTGTCTTCTTTTCCATGGTCAGGCCCAGCAGTTGGAATTCTTTTTGAGGCCATTTTCCCAAGGATTTATCACGTCACAAGACTTGCTGCGTGCCTGACAAAAGGAAGGCCCAACAGAGGGAGCCACATTGGGAAGTGGGTCCTGGGGAGTCTGCTGAGATGCTGGTTGCTAAGTGACTGCCCTGTCCTCCACGGGGCAGTGATTCAAAGCCATGCCTCAGGAAATAGATAAATTCCACATAGCATGGACCTCTGGGGTCACTCCAAAATAGTGAGAAACTACCACAGTTCAATCTCAGAATGGCTAGAGCTTTCTGTGGTTGAAACTGTGACTATTCTGGAAAGATCTAGAATATTGACTAGGGCTGCTGAAAACTTCAAAGAGAATCCCACTCATGCCAAATACAACTGACTCTGAAAATCCCTTGCCAACCACATGCACTTGCAGTGAAGAATGTTTTAGAGAGTCTTGATATTACGTAGAGCAAATGTGGTTTGAAGTTTTAAATCATGAAAGAACCACATTAAGAGAACAAGAGACTGTGGAGTAAAAGTTTAAGACAGTTAAATGCTCATGTACCACAATATAAAATTGATTTTTAAAAGTCTACAATATTAAATCAAGAAATATTCCAAATATATATATTTCGAAATATGAAAATGCCAGAAGAAAGAACTAGACAAATTAATGATGACTGCCTGAGGAAGTTCTGCCCAATTATTCCATTTGGAGCATCTAGAAAAGCTGGAGAAACTATTTTTTAGAATCTATTTAAAGACACTGGAAAGCTACAAGGTAGTAAATGGGGCCAAGAGGCAAGAGAAGAAGGAAATCAAGAAAGATGACTACATTGCAATTAAGACCATCTATTCACCAAAGAAAGACTATCAGTGAATGAAAAGGGAAACTTTAGCATGGAGAGAGATATATGTAATACACGTATCCAGAAAGGACTCAAGCCAAAATCTAAAAGAACTTCTACAAATCAATAAGAAAAAGACCACAGAAAAGAAAAATGGACATGACACTTCAGAATTTCACAAAAGGGTATCCAATGTCCAATAAAGAAATGAAAAGATATTCAGCCTCCTTTAGTCATCAGAGATGTACAAATTGAAACCACATCGCAATCCCACTACCCACCCACCAGAATGGCTAACATTAAGAAGACTGACAGTACCAAGTATTGTCAAGGCTGTGAAGCAATTGAAACTTCCCTGTGTGATTGGTGAGAATGTAAATTGGCACACTATAAAGCAGGGTTCCCCAACCCCCAGGGCCACAGACCCGTACTGGTCTGTGGCCTGAAGGAAGCAGGTCATATAGCTGGAGGTGAGCAGCAGGCAAGCGAGTGAAACTTCGTTTGTGTTTGCAGCCACTCCTCATCGCTTGCATTACTGCCTGAGCTCCGCCTCCTGTCAGATCAGCCGCGGCATTAGATTCTCATAGGAGCTTGAACTTTGTGTACGAGGGATCTAGGTTGTTTGACCCTTATGAGAATCTAATGCCTGATGGTCGTCATTGTCTTCCATCACCCCCAGATGGGACCGTCTAGTTGCAGGAGAACAAGCTCAGGGCTCCCACTGATTCTACATTGTGGTGAGCTGTATAATTATTTCATTATATATTACAATGTAATAATAATAGAAATATAGTGCACAATAAATGTAATGGGCTTGAATCATTCTGAAACCAACCCACCCCTATCCCCCACCAGTGGGTGGAAAAATTGTTTTCTATGAAACTGGTCCCTGGTGCCAAAAAGGTTGACGACTGCTACTTTTATTTTTTATTTTATTATTATTATTATTATTTTTTTTGAGAGAAAGTCTCACTCTGTCACACAAGCTG